TAGGTGAGGTTCCTGCTAGTCCTGGGGACCCAACCACCTTTGGTAGTAAGTGGCAGAAAATTACTGGCCAGATTAGTTTTGGCAAAGAAGAAATCTGAGCATTTATTCCCCTTCCCATTGAAGCAGAGCTTCACAAGTTCCAGCATGCACGAGAGCTCTCTGCATAAGAACAAGTATTTATTTAACCAAGTTATATGGCTGTCCATTTTGCAACAGTGACTTTGGCTGGCTATCAGAATTTAAAAACTCAGTAGAAATAAAACAGTAACAATAACAGCAACAACAAACTACCCAGAATATACAGAACATATCATGGAAAATACTCAGCTGAAACTTTTATTTCTGATACGCTGATTTTCCTATGCGGAGACCAGCTGCCTGTAGACCGTCCCAAGAGTGTTCGCAAGAGGATATGGGCCAATTACTGTTTTCTGTGTCTTCATTATGTAAACAAAAAGCTGTGAATTCAGATCTATCACATGAGTGCAAAGTCAGCTGTGGTACTAGCAGCATAGGAATTCCCACTGGATTGTCGATTACTTGGTTGCGTGGCATGGGAATGGTAATACAAGTGAAAAGTGGCTACCTCGGGGACTGACTCTCTCACATTATTTCTGTCTGCCCCGTAAGATCCAACAGGGCAGGCATGCTTCGTGTCCCATCCATTAAGCAATGTCATCTGGTGGGATCTAGAAAGCGCACCTTCTCTGGCCCGGCCCTTCTCTGCCATCTGGAATAGCAAGCCTTTAGATGTTCTTTTAAAACCTGCTCTGCTCATTCTCCCCAGCTCCGGGATAGGTCGGTGGTGTGGCCGTTGATGTGTTCGTTGGCTGGAGTTGTGACGTGTGTTCCCCCCTCCATTAAGTGATGCTCTTTCTACTTCTCTGTGGTTCTTAGGCATTGTCATGGTTTTAATTGTCTGCCACCCAGAGTTGGCTTTGAGTTGGAGTGGCCTTAGAAATTGACGTCATAAATAAATAAATAAAAGAAATTGGGCTCGGTCCTCATAAAATGGGGTGCCAGAAACCGGAGCAGCACGGCTCCTCAGTCCCTGGGGACTGTGGTTGAAAATGGAAAAGGAGAGTCACGCTCTCCCTGCACTGCTAACCTGTTTTCCTCATCTGCTAAAAATAGATGGAAATATAGGGCACAGTTGCAGCAAGGCCAAGCAGAAGGGGATTCGCTCTAAAAGGATGTGTATTCTTGTGCAAATTCATTTTTTGGGTGGCGATCTCACAGTTCACCCAGCAGAAATTAGGACATCACGGGAAACCCGGAGCCCGTGATTCTCAGAATCCACAAGGCTATCCCTCAGAAGACTTAGAGGCACAAACACAGGCTTGGAATTAACCAATATAAAGACAAGAGGTCAGGATACATGCGTTATTCAGCTTATTAAAAGAATAGGAAGGAAGAGAACATTCCTAAAGACAGCTGATTAGGGCTATGGCTTCCTTTGGTTTAGTTTTTTAAACTCTCAGATCCAGTGGCTTGCAAGAGGCAACCTGGCCCTTACTGTATTGCTCATACTAAGCTTCCTGTTACTTATCTTGTTACTGCAGGTTGATCCCCTTTCCTCCCCTGGCCCTGATCCCTCATTGTCCAGTTCCGGCTGTTTCTACAAATGACCTTCCCAGGTTATTCTCACACCTAGAAAGCAGATTCTTCTGTATAGGAATGGGCAGGTAGAGCACTGCAGTGATCTGACTGGATATTTCAGTTTATCCTGCGGTCTGTAAAGAGCGGGGGCAGAATGCAGAACGTTTCATGCCTGTGTTCGAGGCAGCCTTTACACAGGACCCCCCAGTTGCAGCAGCGAAGTCTTTCTGCAGTGGGAATTCTGTCACGCTAGTGTTTTGCAAGCTCTGCTGGCAACAAGTGTGCTACTTTGGTTCTGTATAGCTCCCAGCACAAATCTTTGACATCAGTACTGTGTCTGGCCATAACTGTAAGTTCACATATTCAGAAATTTAGTGTTGGTGTTACTGCTGTTGGAAGAAAAAGTTATCTTACCAAGTCCGTTTCTGAGCTGGGAGTAAAGACACTGACGAA